TCCCGGCAAGACATCCGGCAGACACTCATCGGGTGTAGTGTAGTCCTGACAGGTAGAACCCAGGAGTTGCTTCCGGTAATACCAGCTTACACGACATCAATAATGTTTTGTGAAATCTGATCCCTTCTCGACTGCGAATGTTGAAAAGGTGTTGACAAATGAGGGCACTTGACCAAGACTATGACAACGTGACAGTCTGTCGCAGCTTCAAACACGTTTCAGCTGATCGAGAGGAAGACTGACATAGTATCGCCCTGTTTGACAACACTTGACACCTAGCATTCTTATGTGACTAAATGGCACGTATATGCCTTCAAACTGGATGAAGTTTGTAGTCCAATCTGGTTTGACGTGATCAGAAAGAGGCTGCTTCAGCAACGCGCGAGCCGGTGATAAGAACTCAACATTTCAGGAAACTTGACCAGAGGTACTGTTGAGATCCGTATCCAGTTGTGTGAGATCAGAAAGGATGAGTCTCCAATATCGGTCATGCTCTCCTCGAGCTACAACGAAAGTGACTCGGTTGACTCGTCCAGGGAAATACTCTGGTGAGACAGCCTCAAAGCGTTGGGCATGAGGTTGAAAACCGAAACTGGTTGAAGTAGATCAAGGAAGATGCGATGAACTTGAAGTTGTGCCTTTCGAGGAAAGAAGCTGAGATACGTCGCAACTTCGCAAACGGAATTACAAGCGCAGTGCCGCAATTCTACTGTGTCCAAGAAGACACAGATGGCAGTCGCTAACCAGCCACCAACATAACTGAAGTCCGAACTTCTCCTCGAACCTGGCGTTCCAGTCACACTCCATCCATCTCTTCAGTGATTTCTTCTCTGCATGCTGCGTATTCCACTGGTCACTAGTCACTACTAAGCAACTACCCCAACCAATCCAGAACTTTGATCGACTGGGTGCCCAAGAAGACACGAAGGTAGGAGCTGAGCCACACTGCTTTTCGACATATGACTGACATTCCAATATGAATACGCACAGAACGAGGCATATAGCTCCAAATCGAAATCGATTAGAGGTCTCCCGACGTCCACTTGAGATGTCTCGAACGTGCTGTGGTTCGTCCCGTCCCGTCATTGCACTTGCGCCGGTCCCAGCCAGCTTTGCTGCTCGCCTCACTTCACGTCGCCCCAAAGTCGCGAATACCACTTGGAAGTCGGCATTTTCGCCTTGGAAACTCGTACATTGCGCTCGTTCCCCATGGCAGTGTTGAAAATGAGAACAGGCCCGGCCCATCCCGGAGGTGATTGCCAGAGTCAAGCAGACTTGTCAAAAGTAGGAAAAGCATAACCCAAGCTGGCTTGTCAAGTGGAATCTTTTTTTAAAGAGTCCGGGGGCACAGGGGCAGGGGTTCTGTCCACAGCTACCAATGCCAACGTTCTAGGCCACCTAGCCAGTGTTAGTTGGTGCTGATGGGCGGCCATTCAGGGGCATCGACACAGTGGGGGCTCGCCAAGCACGCCATGTCACCTCGACATGATTGACGATCAGGGCAAACCGGGGAAGTTAGCCGGTAGCGTTCATAGGTAGGGTAATCACTGCACAACTTCACGTTACCACAGAACGACCCAGGTGGGCTGAAGCCTCAGCTACAGTGGGCAACTGGCTGTCGTGTAAAAACATACAGCTTCAGCGACTATGGCCAAGCAAAAGCTTCATGTTTGCAGTCACTTGCCGGCCCAAATGGTTCAGACATTTCAAAGGGTTCGTCGGCCAATCCGGAGTGTTGGCAAGATCTACACACGTCCTATCCACCATAACAGATTACACACTGTTGACCTGCGTCTCGGCTCACTATCATCTCTTCTAATCTCATTATCGCTATCGGGAAACCCCGTTGCTTAGTGCTTGGTTACTTTTCGGTTGCTCGGAACCCCGAATGCGGAATAGTGTCGTGGCGTAGGCTGTCAGTCTTACGCGCTTGCTGATATGTGTGACGCCGCAGCCTAACTCGAAATGTCAAGTTAATATTGGTGAGATACTCGGCCCCCCATGTTTCCATTTTCGAAAGCGTAAACGGCGACAATGGAACTTTCCTCACCTGAACTCACTGCAGAGAACTTCTTCCTCCTCATCTTCTCTCGTCTGTGGGAATCGGATCTTTCTTCGCTCAACGACCACCAAAGAAGCGTCACCGGGAAGCCGCTTTGACCCTTGCCCACGTTACGTTACCCGCCCTCAATTCTGGGACCACTTACATCCTCAACCTCTTCAACGAAACTGCGATTCAAGCCACGAAGCCTCGAACAGAGACCCTTTTTTTGGCACCTTGGAGACAACTTGCTCTCCGTAATTCCAAATCCACACCGATAACAAGGTAGCCATACAAAGGGAGATCTGCAACTTTATTGTCTCCCTCGAGTCCCGATTCCCTGGAGTTATCCACCTCGCGCGTATTCGAGGTCCGTCAAGGAGAGCTGCTTTCCAGGTGAGATGATTCGTATCATTCCTTAAGATATCATGCGTTATACAAACACCTCCGGGCCGCCTTCGCCGCCTAGCGCTTCGAGCTTCAGGATTGCGTACACACCTATGATCCGCTTTCCCCACGCTTAGATGATTGTCTCGCACAATGCAAGGGCTGTCGTTATCCTGAGCGACCCAATCTTATCTCCCAGAAAGCAACCGCTCGGTTCTGCATGGAAATCCGAAGGGTTTGTCAAGAATTATTTGCTGATTTTGGTTTGACGAAAGCCGCGTTCCCGCCAATTGCAATCATCCAGGCACATTGAACATTATCTCGTTCGGACTTGTCGCCATATCTCCACCCTGCCACCATGACTTCTTCATTGCCTCTCCAACCACTCGCAACTTATGCTGAGGATCCCCACTCTGGTCCGGACAGCAACCCGTTATCCACTCTGAATCTCACAATTCTCAAGAGTCTCTCAGACAAGAAAACGAGAGGTGGGTAGCAGTGATCAATATGGTCGCTGTTGGTGGATACAGACCAGGCTGATTGTTTTGGGTATATAGATGGTCAACCACCTAAACGGCGTGGCCCCAAGCCGGACAGCAAGCCAGCACTCACACGACGCCAAGAGCTGAACAGGCAGGCACAACGGTATGCTTCTCCAAATGTTCATCAACGCCTCGATGCCTGCTGACCACCTATGAAGAACACACCGCGAACGAAAAGAGCTATACATTAAAGCCCTTGAAGATGAAGTTCTGCGTCTCAAGGAGATCTTCGGGACCATCTCACAAGACAAGGAGCGTCTCGCCGAAGAGAACCGGCGGCTGAAAGCTAAGCTAGCCCAGAACGACGCGGCCGGCGATCCAATTGCTGCCGACACAAACTTCTTTGACCAAATGGTTAGCAGTCCAAGCGGGCCGAGCCCTGGATACACTTCCAGCTCCAGCATGTTGGGAAGCGAAAGCTACCTACCGGGGGGACCGTCCAGCCAAACCACCTTCCCATCACCACCTTCATCTACGACGACGACCTCGCCGGTTTACCGTCCATCCCTCGGGGGACCGAGAGATTTCAACACCGTTTTGGGAGATGGCGCAGGTGGTCTGGTATCAAAGAGGGATCCAGATTTGGATTATGATCAAGCCGGTATTGATTTTGTGTTAACGTACGAGTTCCCACCTCCTTCGAACCCCAGTCGGTAAAAACAAAGGAGAAACGGAGATCCATGTTGCTCGTCTTCAATGCTGGAGGGTTCGACAACTTTCTGATACACGAGAGAAAAAGGGAAGGGAACAGAAGCAACTAACAAGTGCCCCTTGGTTCTACCTTTTTTTAGACTCGAGCGCCCGTGCATGGAACACATGACATGGCTACTAGAACGAGGAACCGGCACCGAAGATAGAGCGCAACGAGAGCCCTGCGGCCACGCGCTCATGGCTTCCTGTCCTCCCGAGCCCTTCTCCGAGCTATCGCCAGAGAGCCCTTTCGGGCACACCAACACCATTCACGCTCACGGTCACGGTCACCCCCCGATGCCTACTAGCATTAGCGGTGGTGGTCAGCGCACATGGGAACTCAGCAAAGCCGACCTGGCTACGCTGCTCGACCTAAGCAAGCGGCTAGATCTTGACGGGGAGATCACTCCTGTCATGGCTTGGGGGATGGTCCTCGCTCATCCGCGGCTTGCCGAGTTGCAGCTGGAGGACTTTGCGCGGTTGACGGAGGAGTTGGGGAGCAAGGTTCGGTGTTACGGGTAGGTTTTTGCCTTTACCTCTCCCTCAGTTGCCGAAAATGCTTTCCTTTGCCTGTGTCAAAGTGAAGTAATGGATTGCTAATTTCTTTCTTTGGTGTGGTTATAGGTTTGGCGCTGTGATGGAAGAGTTTGAGGTTAGGGATGCGTTGGAAAATCTGTTTTCGACAAAGCCGGATGGAAGAGTGTTTGAGGATTTTTGAGAGGACGGTGCTGGTCCGGTCGCCTATAATAGCTGGCTGAACAACTGATGAGAGAGGCCTTGGCAGGTATCTTTTTGTAGACATTCAAGTTACCCTTGTTTAGACAAGCTGCAGTGGAAAATCAATTATCACTGAACGGGCCCCAAACTGCCATTCGGGGCATGATGAAATCCAAGCTATCTCAAAAGAGAAATGTCAGAATAATACTAGCAACACCGAGCAAAGGTCGACAAAAGATGTCAAAGAAAGGTGTACCGGAAATGGTGACAACAAGAGCATTGGGCTTGCTAGGGTGAAGACGGTGAACCTACTCACCTGAAATCCAAGATACTGATTGGTCAGTTGCTCGTCGGTGAACCCCCATGCCCGCCACGGTGTAGAGGTAAGGAGCTACGGAGAGCCCCACACCTCACAATTACCCCACCCTGCGAATTTCTGAGTTTTGGGGCAATTTGCTGCACGGCCCGGACAGCAGAATCCCACAGCGACACAGCCCCGGCGAATTCGAAGCAACCCCTCCGAGTCCTGGGTCCTCTTTTTATTTTTGTCTTTGCCAACTTGCGCCAGGTCCCGACTATCGATATTATTCCGATATCGTTTCGTCGCCCACATACGACATCCAAATCATGACGAACCCTACTCCTGGCCTTTCGGGCCTCGTCGACCTCATCGACTCCCTCCCCGACCTGGGTGCCACTTGGGGCCCCGCCATCACCACCGAGACCACTCTCAATGGCGTCCCCTACGCCCCCTACTCCAAGGGCGACAAGCTCGGCCGCATGGCCGACTGGACTGCCGATTCCAAGGATGGCCGCGACGGCCGTGGCGGTCGCCAGCAGTACAACAGGAACTTCCGTGGTGCGTTATCCTACCCGGCCTCTGTCCTCTTCATGACCCTTTTGAGGTCTGGATGAGAGTGATGATGTTTACTAACTTCCCACTCCAGACCAGCAGATCTACGGTGCCGGTTCCACCTCCATCTTTGCGCCCCCCGTCGCCGAGGACGAGTCTTCCTTCTCCGTTGTCTCCAACGTCAAGGACACTGGCAAGACCCGCTTCGGTCGTGGTGCTGTCTTTACTAGAGGCCGTGGCCAACGCGGCGGTGCTGGCGCCCAGGCTGGCAGGGGTGGTGGCCGTCAGACCTTCCAGAGGACAGGTCGCGGTGGTCAGCAGTACGGTGGTGGCTACGACGGTGGCCGCGGTGGCCGCCAGAACACTGGCGCTCGCGGTCGCCGCTTCGGCTGGAAGGATTATGACAAGCCCCAGCGCAACCGTGATGCTTCGATCAACATCAAGGGTGACTGGAAGTTGATTGAAGAGATTGACTACAACCGTCTCAGCAAGCTCAACCTCGAGACCGACGAGGGTGAGGATGTCGATGACTACGGTTTCCTCTACGCCTACGACCGCTCCTACGACAAGCCCGTGGTCAAGAACGCCGAGCGCAGGCTCGCTGCCATCGACCGTGCTGCCTACAACGTCACCACCTCTTCCGACCCCGTCATTCAGGAGCTTGCCGAGAAGGACGAAGCCACCATCTTCGCCACCGACAACATCCTCTCCATGCTTATGTGCGCTCCCCGCTCCGTCGCTCCTTGGGATATCGTCATTTCCCGCCAGGGCAACAAGATCTTCTTCGACAAGCGCGACAACGCCGCTCTCGACCTTGTCACCGTCAACGAGAACGCCGCCGACGCTCCGCTCGACGCTTCCGAGGGTTCCAAGGATGGCATCAACCAGCCCCACGCCCTTGCCGAGGAGGCCACCTTCATCAACCACAACTTCGCCAACCAGGTTGTCGTCGAGAACGAGTCCGAGAAGGTCAACATGGCCCACGAGAACCCCTTCTACAACGCCTCCGAGGAGAACGTCCCCCCTGCCTCCAAGGCTTACAAGTACCGCCGCTTTGACCTCTCCACCAGCGAGGAGGAGTCCACCTTCTTGGTTGTTCGTACTGAGATCGACGCTGTTCAGAAGAATGCCACCGACGGCAAGAACCAGCTCGTTACCGTGCACGCCCTTAACGAGTGGGACAGCAAGGCCCAGGGCGCGGGCGGTGCCCTCGACTGGAGGACCAAGCTCGCTTCCCAGCGTGGTGCCGTTGTCGCTACTGAGATGAAGAACAACAGCTGCAAGCTCGCCAGGTGGACTGTCCAGTCCATTCTCGCCAAGGCCGACGTCATGAAGCTTGGGTAAGTTTTGCGCCCTATGTTGATCAATACTAAATACTAACCACTTTTTCTTTTTCCCCGATAGTTTCGTCTCCCGCGTCAACCCCAAGGTCAACGACAAGCACGTTATTCTCGGCGTCGTTGGCTGGAAGCCCAAGGACTTCGCCAATCAGATGAACCTCCAGCTCTCCAACGGCTGGGGTATTGTCCGCACCATTGCCGATATGTGCCTCAAGTCCGAGTCTGAGGACGCCAAGTTCGTCCTCGTCAAGGATCCCAACAAGAACATTCTTCGTCTGTACGAGGTCCCCGCCGGCAGCCTCGACGAGGAGGCTGAGGAGTTGGACCAGGTCGAGGAGGATGGTGAGGAGGCCGAGGAATAAAATACCTTTGGACGTGTAGAGTGGGACATTGTAATAGGAGGCATTTGCTGAAGAGGAATAGAAAGCCTCTATGATGCAAAATGTGTGAGAGGGTTATGAGGATTTGGGGATCTGAGCAAGTGCGATATGCTCTCCCCTGGACCGATGGGAAGCGGAGAATAAAAGCAGTTTCATTATTCAGTTCAAGAGCGTTTTTTGCCACTTGTGTTTCGAGATTATGGTTGGTTTCTTTCGAAGGCGTTCATGAACCGAGAATGTCACTCATGGCAGGACTTTCATATGCCGTCTCGAGAAACAAAAAGGTGGTCTGCGTTGACAAGACTGAATGGAGACATGGGCGTGGCTCGTGTAGCGTACATGGTTCAGATACTATGCAGCGGCTTATGATGGCGGGGGGATATCCATAGACAAAAAACTCCGAAGTCAACAGAGTTTGAAAGGATAGTTGATCGCTCGCGCGTCAAACCAATTGTCTTGATTCTGGCGATTCTTTGTTGAAGGGCCACTCTAGTCTCACGTGACTTCGCGACGCATTTTGGCGTTTGTTGCTTACCTACCAACGCAGATTTGCCCCTCGCGTTCTTTACCGGACCCGTTTGCTACCCGTTTGTTGCCCGCTTGCAGATCCATCATGCATGTCTTCGCCACTGCGACTGAATACTAACCCACAACTCCGGCGCTGTCAACCTGTCCCATCTCCTCATTCCATCACCGGCATCATCTCCAGCATCGATCTCAATCATTAATATCCCCTTTCGATTCAGTTATAGCAACGGCGCGCAATTTCCAATCATCTCACCACCAAATCAATATAACAAAAAGCGCGGCATCAATTTCTACACTAGGAAGCTGGAATCATGCCACCAAAATTATCATCGTCATCCTCCGCCGCCGGGAAACTGACCAGCTCTTCCTCCAAAACTCCCGTCAAGTCTGCCCGAAATAAAGGGTATATCACCAAGACGCCCATCTCTTCGAAGGCGAAACCGAAGCCGAATGCGAGTATCCTAAATTACTTCAAGAAGGCGGCCGATGAGACCCTTTTCATTGGTGAGGGTGGGGTGACGGCTGAGGATTTGGAAGGGGTTGATGGGGTTGGGGTTGAAGGCGAGGGTGAGAGTGAGGGTGGATGTGAGGTTGAAGTTGAAGGTGGCGGTGTTGATTTGAAGGATGCAGAAGAGGATGAGAAGCAGTCCAATGACATTGGGGGGCTGACTAAGAAGAGAAGTCTCACTTCTGATGGTTCGGAGGAGGAGACGAAGGGAAAGAGGGTGAAGGCGGATGCAGTTGAAGTGAAGAAGGAGACGGAGCAAGAGGAGGTAAAACTGCAGAGTGAAGAAATGATAAAAGAAATGCTGGCGGTACCGCATAGTAGCGGCGCGCAAAGCGCAAAGTCGGTTAGGAATCCGAGGAGAGGTCCATTCTTGGACGATTCAGACGAGGAGGATGGGGGTGAGGCGGAGGCGGTGGAGGGGAGCGCCGCTCCTGTCAAGTCCGCGGGTTTATCAGACTACGAGGGAAGGGAGAAAAGGGATGAGTCGACCGACAAGACGGAAGTCGAGACCTTGGAAAACGTTACGAAGAAGTCTAGAGTTCCTCTTTTACGACAAGAGACATCCGGTGCTAGAGCGGACACCCAAACCAACCAGGAAGACGAACCAGCAAAAGACGGTGCAGATCAAATCGACAAGGACCCACAAGAAGACAAGGAAAACCACTACAACGACCTTCAAGGCGAGGAACTGAGAGAGAAGCGGTACGTGCAGGAGCAAGCCAGGCTTGAAGCAGAAGAGCGACGAGGTTTTATTGGAGAGGATGATGATTATGGCGAACTGATGTTGGACGATGCCGGATTTATCGATGAGATTGAGGACGATGATGATCTAACATTTCCCCCGGCGAACCCGGATGCCATTACAGAAAGCTGTCCCATATGCAACGCAAGTCTCACCGGCGTAACAAGCGACCAGGCCACCGCGCACGTCAACGCTTGTCTTGATGGGAACCCCTCGCCATTTCCTCCTCCAAATCAAACAGCCGCAGAGCAACGAGTACCCAATGTCAAGGAGGAATTTCAGGAGAGCGCAAACTTAGTGAATGATACAATGGCGGGTCTCACAGAAGGTAGCAAACGCTTCGCTTCTCGCGCCGCCGTTGCCCGCCCAGGACAAGCAAACCCCTTTACGCTCCCTGGCGACAACGACGATCATAACCCTGGCCCCGATGTGAAACTTAAAGGAACTGGCAGCTCAGCCTTCAGCAAACTAATGTCCTCCCACGCCGAATCAGCCGCCTGGGCCACTGCCGCTGCCGCCGAGTCTGCCTCTCGGGGAATGCCCGCTTACAAACGAACCTGCCCTTTCTACAAAATTATGCCCAACTTCTCAATATGTGTTGACGCTTTCCGTTACGGCGCCGTCCAAGGCTGCAAGGCCTACTTCCTTAGCCACTTCCACAGCGACCACTACATGGGCCTCTCAGCCAGCTGGGTACATGGACCTATCTACTGCAGCAAAGTGACCGGGTCGCTGGTAAAGACGCAATTGCGGACAGCGGCCAAGTACGTCGTCGAGCTGGAGTTTGGGGAGACCGTGCCGGTGCCCGAGACGGGCGGTGCTGTGATGGTTACCATGATTGAAGCAAATCATTGTCCGGGGAGTTCGCTGTTTTTGTTCGAGAAGAAAGTTGGCAAGGAGGGAAGGACACAGAGGATTTTGCACTGTGGCGATTTCAGGGCGTGTCCAGCGCATGTGGAACATCCGTTATTGAAGCCGGAGACGCTCGATAAGGTGACGGGGAAGATAAAACAGCAGAAGATTGACGTTTGTTACCTTGACACGACGTATCTAAATCCGCGGTATTCGTTCCCACCCCAGGAGGATGTGATTCAGGCGTGTGCCGAGGTGTGCGCAAAACTTGATAGGGGGTTGAAGGAGGGGAATGAAGCCGAATGGGAGCGGCTATTGAGGATGAGAGAAAGTGGCGGTAACGCAAAGGAGGGGCAAGATGTCACTCAGTTCTTTGGCTACAACAGTAAGAGGAAGGGGGATGGCGGCATCACATCAAACCCAACACCGCCCGAGGAGGAACAACAAGCAGAAACCAAACCCCCTCCCAACGCCTTCACCGCTCTCACCTCTTCTTCTACTATCCGCAAAAACCGCCTCCTTGTAGTCTGCGGCACCTACTCCATCGGTAAAGAGCGCATCTGCGTCGCCATCGCGCAAGCCCTCGGCTCCAAAATCTTCGCTTCCCCTTCCAAGATCCGCATCACCAAACAGCTCGACGACCCCGAGCTCTCCAGCCTGATGACCGCGGACCCCCGCGAAGCCCAAGTGCACATGCAAGCCCTCGGCGAGATCCGCGCCGACACGCTGGCTGAGTACCTCGAGCTGCACCGGTCCAACGGGTTCAGTCGCATTGTCGGGTTTCGTCCCTCGGGGTGGAGTTACCGGCCCGGTTCCGGGTCCAATAACAATAACAACAGCCACGAAATACAGTTACCGCCCGACATCGACACAGGGCCCCCCGCCTCCGTCCCCGTCACCGCTGCTCTCCCTCCCTCGTCGCTGCCAACCACGCACCTCCTCCACGGTAACCGATTCCGCCCCCGCTTCTTTGCACAGAACGTGGTCCCCCAGCGCGGGAGCGGGAGGGAGGCCATGTGCTTTGGGGTTCCCTATAGCGAGCACAGCTCGTTCAGGGAGCTGGCGCTCTTTTTGATGGCGTTGAGGGTGGAGAAGGTGGTGCCGACGGTGAATGTGGGGAGCGAGGCGAGTAGAGCGAGAATGAAGGGGTGGATTGATCGGTGGGTGGGGGAAAGGAGGAGAGGGGGCTTGGTGAGGGTTTTGCATGAGCAGGAAGGGGGAAAGGGAGAGAAAGGGGAAGGTACAAAAGGGCAGAAGTTTTGGGATGGGAAGGATGGGAGTGGTGGGGAGGTTTATTGGTAATCTGTGCGGTGATTTGTATGGTGGTGTGCGGAAGCGGTGGGAAAGGGGGGAGTGCGGTTGGTCGGTTGTTTGTAAATCTCTTTGAAACTCTATCCGGCCGTTGTGTTTGCGTTTCCACTCGCACATGGAGAACACCGCCCTTGCCTATTTCTCGGTTCAACTCGGCCGTGTTCATTCCTCATCTGGTATCCGCCTATGTGACACTCTTGACGCCCTGCCTGCCTGTCTTCTCCCGTACCATCCCATCCTGGTCTCTGGCCCTCTTCGTTTGCCCTTGATTCTCGCGCGCGTTTCCTTCCAGCTTCATCAATTGCATTAGTTGATAAACAACGTTGGTAGTGACAATAACGGGTCGAAAGTTATGGTGTGCGTTCCGTGAAGTGGTTCTAGAGCGAATGATCCCCTCCTCCTCCTCTCCTCTCACATTTAACCCTGCTTAGCTTTAGTGGCCTGGTTGGCCGCCTCTGCAACACGGCGTTAGTATGAATCCAACCCATTCATCCCTTCCATGCAGCCACCACGAGCCCCTTCTCACTCAACACACACCAAACATACCTCTTCTCGTGGCATCCTCTAACAACTGAATATCCACGCTCTCCTGGGGCAGGTGAACGTAACGGACCACAGACCCGCGGATAAACACATTCTTGACCGCGCTCAGATGCGGATACTTGAGCTCTTCGACGACTTGGATGTTGTCGAGCTTGATGTTGAGGAACTGGTCGACGCTCTTGAGCACGCCCCGGATCTGGATGTCGTTCTTGAGCTCGACCGTGACCTCGTGGTCGATGAGGGTTTTGAAGAAGCTTTTTGCGTGAAGTGTCAGTCTGTATTTGTTTGACTAGATATTGCAGTGGGTGCTTGAAAGGGAAGAAGGGGGGGTGGGAAGATGTGGTGTGGTGTCGATGCGCTGGTTCGTGTTTATGAGGGAATGCAGGGGTTGATGAGCAATGTTGGTAAACAGTGTGGTATGTTGAAAACTAAGTCATCATGTGTCAACTCAAGCAGGGCTTGGTCCAGGTGTGTGAAGCAACTCCTGATATGCGTCGCAGACCTCGTTATGCTCGACTTCAAAGCAGCATCACAACATAGCGTAGACTTGACCCCACTAGTAAATGATGACTTGATGTGATGAACGAACACGAGTGCTTCTCTTGGGTTAGATGAGATTATTGGATTACCTGAAGAACAACATGGTGTATGTATCAGTGTTGTTAAGTTACCAAATGAGTGACGGAAAAAGAAAGCAACCTTGATGTTAAGATATGTTGGACAACAGAACTAAGGTGACGGGCATTCATCAATTGGTTGAGTTGCCCGTTGCTTGCTGGAACTGTACACGCCAAGGAGACAACTGCCCAACTCGGTGGAGGACTTGGAAAGAGGTGAGCCGCGCTTTGGGAGTCCGAGCGTCCATAAAGTGCAGTGGGAGCACAGACCATTTGTTCTCTATCCGCCAAGACCTGCCCGTATCGTGCTACCAGAGTAGGTAAGTACTGGCAGCTGACAGCCCGGGGAGGTAGGCAGGTATGACACAGTTAGTTTGTACACTACAGAGCTGCCCTGCCTCCTGAGAGTGCCCATGTTGAAGTCGAACCAAAAGTGTCCTACTGACCTCTACAGGAAAGTGCTGACAAGTGTGGCACAGGTTCAGTTGTCTGTTGAGCAACGGCAACGCGAGGAATTCACAGGCGCGACACGGGCACATCAGTCACACAAACTCAAACACGGAAATAGCATTGCGAGGCCCAGGGCAAGGGCAACTTGGAACCCCAATTCCACTTGCAACTCGAAGTGTACTCTACCTCTGCTACGTAACTTAGTCACCTAACCTACTTACGTACACTTACAACGCAGAACGCTACCTACAGAGCAAGTGGAAGTTGAAAAAGGCCCGCCCAGCGCTCTGGCCCAGCCCCATCATTGCCTGATTCCCACACGGGTCGAACAGCTACCTAGACACCACTCGGGCATTCTTCACTCCCCGCGAGCGACAGTCAGGGTCGACAGGGATGTGCCATCAGTTATTGTGCCGTCATTGGATTGTGTATCGACCAGCATCGACCGCCTTTCAGCGAGCGAGGCAGACCGCGACGAGCATCCCTCGAGCACGTCGTGGACGCGGCAGCCTTCCCGGGTCCTGATACCCCTTATTAGACAGACAGACGCCATATCGACATCGCCGTTACCTACCGAGGACCCAGACCAGCCAGCCCCCCCAAGACCCCCCGAGTCCGGATCCTCTTCCACGGAACTCCCTAAAATCCCAACAGATACCTGGAACCCCCGACAGCACACGGGCCGGAAGTCGCCGCGCCAGGATCACCCGTAGTAAGGTGCGCAGCAGCCAGCGGCCAGCACAAAAAAAGCCAGGAGCGCGCGCGGGGTTGCCGATTACGCAGCAACAATGCCGCCGCCCTCGGGCCAAAAAGGCAGCCAGAAGGGCACGGGGAAGAAGGGTGGAGCGGGTGTCATGCGTCAGCACCAGCACCCGCGCAGTCGCAACACCACGCCCAGCGCCGGCTCTCCCCAGGTCGCCAGCCTGCCCCCCATTGAGCAGCACGAGACGGCTACCCTGGACGTGCGCTTCGACCTCTTCCGCAACATCACGTACGACGACCTTGTCGACCACGTCGCTAACAACACCGCATCGCCCGACTCCAAGAGCCTCGATGGCCTCCTGTCCCGCCTGTCACGTCTTAGCGAGGTCATTGACAAGCGGGGCACCAACTGTGACAAAGGCATGCGTCTGCTCGCCCAGTCCCGCCGCCTCCGCGAGAGCGAGCTGGCTGCCGAGCGCGGCCGCGAGGAGGAACGCCGCCAGAAGGAAGCCGACGAGGAGGAGCGTGCCGAGCGCAAAGCCAACAAGAAGAAGCGGAAGGCCACCGAGAACCTGGCCCCGCCCCAGGGAAATAGTATAGGTCCGTTACCACCACCTTCACCTTACCACCGTGCATTCCCTCCCCAATTGAAATTATCTACCTGCTTTGACAATACAAAGCATGGTCCTGACTCCCCTCTCTCCTCCGCAGAATATTCTTCCCCGGTTCGCGAGTCCGGAAACAAAGCCAGGAAGCTCTCCCGCGATGATTCTGCCAGCTCCTCTCTCTCGCCAGTCGCCCCCAGGACGCCCTCTGCCATGGAGGCCGACGAAAAGACAAAAACCGAGGAAAATGACGACGACGACGACGATGACGATTCCGATGACGATGGCCAGCCTCCGCCGCCTGCACGACCACAGGCCAACACTTTTGGCGATGACCCATCTACCTTCCCCGATCCGACCGTCTACGAAATCCTCCCGGTGAAGCCGGGCATGACAGAAGACGAAATCAAGGAGATCTATTCAGTTGCAGTGTATCCAAAGAGCGACCTGGCCGACATAATAGCTGGCGATCCCCCCGATAAAGACTTCAGCAATGCGAAACCTAGCAATCAAATCAACTTTTCTACTTTCAGCACTTATGTCGAACCGTTTTTCCGACCGTTTACAGAAGAAGATCTCGCCTTCCTTAGAGAGCGTGGCGATCGAGTCACGCCCTTTGTTATGCCGAAGCGCGGGAAGAAACATTACACAGAAATATGGGCCGAAGAGGACGGCGCCATGGTCATTGATTCGGCAGATGTCAAGGACAAGCTGCCCCCCAACCAGCCTCGCGGTAACATAGAGAACATGAACGACGAAATTGCCGAGACAGACAAGCTCTCGGTTGGGCCCATTCTAGCACGGCTATTACAGACGATGCGGCCCGAGCATCGCGCACCGCCTGCGGATGAGAGACAAAACGGCGCCACTGCTGACGGGGATGTTACTATGAACGGCGTCGATCGCTTTGATTTCGGGGACACTCAACCACAGACAGCATCGCCCACGGTAAATGGAATCAATGGCACAACTGGACAGTCCACCTCAACCCAACTCCCGCCTGCGACTTTCATGCCCGAGTCCAACAGCGAATCATGGAAGAAAGCTTCGCATCCTAAACTCGATTATTCCCAAGTGGATGAACGTCTCAAACAAGAGCTACGACATATTGGCTTCCTACCTTTCCCGCCCGACCAAACCAACGGGACCTCTTCCACGGCCAACAACGTCTCATCATCGAATACAGGTAATAACAACACGTCTTCCACGAGCGGCTCATCTGCCTCGCATCCCTCCGGCGGCGATCCTGGTCCCACAGCTGCCGATTTCGATGGTCATTATGATGATGAAGTTGCCGCCCGATTACGTCTTCTCCAATCCCGTCTGCACGAGCAGGTTCTTCTTAACGGTGCCCGCAAAGCGCGCCTCACTGAGCTTGTCAAAGAGCGCATGGCGTTTCAAGAGTATCAGACCATTCTTGAAGACCTTGATAGCCAAGTGCAAGCAGCCTACCTCAAACGGACCCGTACAATGGGCAAGAAACCAAAGAAAGCCCGGCCAGGCGCCGCAAAGGATGGCGCCAACGCGAATGGCGGGTCCGGGACGCCCGGCCCAGGCGGTGCGGCAGGCATGGCGAGGCCAGGCATTGGAGACCTTACGCGCACGCTCATGGAGCGTAGGCGGAGGTGGATTGAGAACATGGGGCCGCTTTTTGAGGATGACGTGCCCCCTTCGGAAGATATGAGTCCAGCGGCAAGGAGGATTCGGGGCTCCAAACTCATGAAGGTTCCTAGGGTAAATGAAGAAGGGAGCACGATTTTTCCACGAGAAGCAATGGCTGAACTTATCAAGCGGGAGAAAGAGTCCTGGGACGACGAAGAGGCTGACGAGGAGTGACTAGCTTCTCCCACACATGTTACCTCCCAGGCCTCTTGCGGTCTTCCCATACTCAGAGTCCTCCTGTTCGGGCGTCGTCCCCGAAATTCCACAACGATGAGAATATGGCATAGATTGTGGATGTTCATCGAGATGAGCAACTCAGTACATCGGCTGGACCTGATGAGAAAGAACATGATCAATTCAACATACTGTTCGGATTCGATGAGGAAGAACTCGAGCAGGTCAGCACTTTGGCCGGGCCTGATGAGAAAGAAGAGCACGAGCAACAAAACGGACGTAAAACCCAGGTACAAGACCAACACCAAAACAAACGCGAAGACAAGTCAGAGGACAAACAACGGGACGAACTTCGTCCTGCAACAGAACTTTCCGGCATACGAAGGCGTCAGCGATGCAAGGAACGTACGATCAAGTGCATGGGATTCATAACGCCGTGCGATGAATGCAATGCATCAAGGCTGGCCTGGAGGATCACTGTCGCCTACCCCCATTTTTTTACCGTATGGTATAAGATGCCAGCGATGCAAAGGAATCAGCAGCTTTGTGTATACCGTCGAGAAGCCTTGCACGTCCTGTGTCAAGGCCGGAGTAGGAGATTAGTGTCGCCCAGAACTAAAGCGGCGAATCTCCCGAGGCACAGGATGTCAACGATGCACAAGGATACAACACCTCGTATGTACTATCGAGAAGCCCTGTCCGCCCTGTTTCAAGGCTGGCGTGGGAGATCAGTGTCGCTAAGCACCAATGGAGGTGGTGCGCAAGAAGTTGCCTGCGTCATGGGCACAAAAAAAAAAGTGTCAATCTCAGCAACAGAGGGTCGTGTTCTCCTCTCGTGAGAATGTCTGATTGACAGCTTTGGGTAAAGATCCTGCCGAAGCGTCAACTGGCCAAATACTGAGAACAACAAGTGGCTGCTCATGAGCTAGGAGGAGGACGGTCGCCTCAGTCACTTCTTTGCTTTCTATCTTTTTACATTTTTCATCATGGGATGACCAAGGTGGGTGTATCCGGTTTGGATTTTCTTATCACTGGCCTGTACCACTATACCTACTCGACTATTTTGGTTGACTATTTCCCACCCATCCCGTATTACTGAAAGGTTCTTGTCTCCTTATTTTCTTCCATCAGTGTACTTGGCTTCTCTGTTTTTGACTTTCCATCTATCTTTCCGGGGTTGGGAAGAGGCTACACAGCAGGTGTGGTCTTGTATGCATGGTCGGCGTTCTGGATGGTCAAAATGGCGTAAAATTGGGCAGGGTAGGGTACGGCAAAGAGGCTGGTAACCACTACTGCTTCTGGGTTCAAAGATGAGGCAGGTTGTCCGTTAGTGGGTTTTATCGCGATTATGGCTTGGGATATCATTTGGAGCACAAACCAGGCGACAGTACCAGGTATTGAATGAGATCACAGGAGAATGTCAGGCCGATGATATGTCTTCCATGTTACATGTATGTGACCTGCTCAATGATACAACGGGCATTGATGCGGGTCACTTTGTTCTTGTTCATGTTGCGTTTTCAAAAAAAAAAAAGTCAGCGATTCCGCTCATTCCGAACACTCCGTAAAATCAATCCCAGGACATGCCCGAGTCTTGAATATGTGTCAATATCTTAATTGTCAGTAAATGCATTGTCATGGCCGGATCCGATCTGTCTGGGTAATCGTGAATGAGTTCCGTTTCATAGGGCTGTGTTGTCACTACTTTTAACCACAATTCGGGATTCACGTCAAGAACGTAACACATACAAAACAAAACAAATGGAATTCGGCGCCTGTGCTTGCTAACTCACCGCGCTGTCTATCTAGGCACCTATAGCGCCTCGCTTATCTACCAGCTAAAAACTCACAAAACCGTCGTTGTTATTTGAAATTATACCCCCTCCTTCCGCCCCGACCCCGCCTCTCCAAGCCTGATATACAACTTCAACGCCCGCTCATAAGTCCACATTGTAACTGCGCTCGCTGGCGCTGCCTTGACCAAGCTGACCGTCAGTCCCCTATACAATCCCCTCACCCCCTCTCTCCTCACAATCGTCGCTACCGTCTTCACCATCCTCCCGTCATAAACGGGTATGTTCTTATGCACATACATTCCCCTCGTCGGTCCCTGCACTTGGATCCTCTTCCTCACCAAGTCCAACGGAAATGTGCCTGTCTTGGCCATCACGCTCGCCAACACGCCTGCCACTGCGCTACCCGAGCTGTAGGGCAGCTCAAGCTGGGAGAGCCGGGGCCGAAGGGTTTCGTACACGCAGAAGAACGTGCCCATGTAAGGGATGATTTGCGCCAACCCGGGCCCAAGGCCGCGGAAGTAACCGGTGACGCCTTCAGAGACGTAAATGGTTTTGAGCGCTTGAAGAAGAGAAGGGTAGACGCGCTCGACGCCTTGCGCGGCGAAGCGGGTACGTAGTAAATCGAGGGGGTAGGTAACTGCCGTGGCGACGCCACCGGCTGAGGCGCCGGCTATGAAGGACTCGACTGATGGGGGCAGGTGTTTGTTTTGGTCTTTGGGGAAAGCGGCTTGAAGAAACTGGGTGATGGAGCGGTAGGTGGTGAATTGAACGGCGGCGTACGAGACGTAGAGAAGCTCGGCGGGGATGTTGCCCTTCCAGAGACCTGTGAGACCTTCGGTGCGCAGAATGTGTCGGATTGTAGGGAGGGTGCCCTTGTAGACGGGCCCGCCGCCGATGATTTCGGCACCGCGCTGGTGGATGAGCGGGTCCGAGAGGGAGTGGTGTTGCAGCTGGAGGCGGATCTTGACGACGTCGAGGGGGGCGATGACGAAACTGTTGGGAGGCAGTACGGGGGCAGGTTAGTGACAGAGGTTGGTTGGGGCAAGGACTTTCTTAGGCAACTTTCAAGGGAAAGGGGGTCGTGACGGACGTACCGAGAGATCAAGCCGGCCGTTGCGCCGGCGGCTGTCACCTGAAGGCGGGAACCCTCATCCTTGAGGCGTTCGGCCTTGCCAGACATTCATCCAGCACGCAATACAGCGGAGAGACTGGAGAAGTGGGCGCGCCCGGTAAACGTGGGCTGAGCGATACGTGATCGACGGCCGGTCGTTGTCGAAGTGCGGGAGAGAGGGCCAGGCTCGAGCTGACGTAGAGATACCGCTACCTTGCGGACCGCAGGTACTAGCGTTCAGTGTGTTCGGGCTTCGGTGTTCAGATGTACCGACGGCAGTGCTGTGCGCCTTGCGGTGGTAGCTCCGGAGATGGCGCTTCGTGTGTTTCTTGGACGACGGTCGTCAAGCCTTTGCGGTTCTTTTGTAAATTCATGATAAGCAGATGTGGGATGTAACTGCGACAAGATATCAAATTGAAGTGAAAACTGCCCCAGGGCAGTGATCTAATTGGATGGGGCAGGCGCGCCAAGGCTTTGTTGAATCTTTTCCGCGTTGATCAGTCGTCTACCACCGGCTTGTACCATGGGATAAGACGGCGAATTGATAACGCACAAGGTTCATGCGCTGGTCCCTGATCAATGCCTTATGTGGCTGAGAAGTGTCGGGAATGAATGCGTGTACGTGCGTCTTAGATTTTCTAGAAGAGCCGAACATGTTTGTAATCCAATTGGGCCTCAGAAACGGAGACGGACATGGTACCTAGTGAATGGGGCTTTTGGTGTCGTTTGATGCTGCAGCGCAATGCCCTGGTTCTGTGTACACACTGCCTCCATGTATGTATGTGCTTAGGCGTTGCATCAAGCACTTGCCCATCTGCCCAGGGTGTTGTGGTCTTACTGCTTTTGCAAACTGATGGCGATGACGGTGACTCGCAAGGCGAAGTCTTATCCTTCTCGTCTTGAAGAGGCGTAGCCGTCATGACAGCAGTGACGACATTGTTCACGACTCGCACCTCGAGGATCAACAGGGGTGCCACGCGCTCAGCTCAGCCTTGGCTTCCACTTTGTCACTTGGTTTGAAGATCGTTGCACTGGCTACGTACGTAACGTCCTGTCGTGACCCGTATGGTCTGTGATAATTTGGTTGAGAGCTGTTGCTCTGTTGGGTAGAACGAGAGCCGGCATACAAACTGTGTGATGAGTCGTTATGGAATATTCTTGTCCTATAGAAGGGATGGCACCAAAGCATACATGATTCCTCGACATGAGTTGATGTGACCCTTAGGTTTGGCGTACCTGTGAGAGCTTTATCCCTATGGGGTAAGCAGGAGTTAATGATACCGGCGTCGGTCGAGCGGTTGTGGCACGGAAAGGGGGTACAGTAGGTGATTCCGTCCCCTCCTCCATCCACATGCTAATCAAATGGACACGTCCGGAGTCGAGGACGGTTCACCGTAGCACTGCCATGTCCGGGGTTGGCGCTAATTGGTTCCATCCGCCCGAAGGTTGCTACCCAGCAATCGCCCACAGCAACCATCTCACCACCCCAGTGAGGAGTCAACCCCAGTATTTCCTTGAATTGGCTAAAGCTGCCCACACCTGGCCCCAGTTCTCCAGGTACGTACCTGCCGACGGGATGCACCCCAGCGTTGTGAGAATGTCCACCTGCGCTCAATGCACAGGGCTCTCAACTCTTGCAGTTCACGAGATGGACCCCGTCATCTTCATCATCCCGCAGCAACGGAACTGGCAACAGGGCATCGAAGCGTAGCAGAATCCCGTGAACCCACCGGTGGGACTTTTGTTCATCCTCCGAGGCTGTTAGTTATATCCCTGATCTCCGTTCTCTCTTCCATCCCGTCTTCTTTCCGCTGTTCTTTCTTTTCTCTTACTTTTATTTTCAAGTAACGACTTTGCATCTTCACCACTTCACCTGCTTGCCCATCGAACCGAAGCGCTGCACGCCATCTGCAGCAACAGAACCTGCGTCCAACCTCATACATCCACCAAACCCCTTGCCATCCGCAGTGCTTGCAGTGAGTGCATAGAGATCGAGCTAGATACATCAGGTCTTCCTGCCCATCTGCAAGACAAGCATCCCAGCCACGCTCCACTGCACACATACTCATCGACGTGTGTTGGGCCAAACCTTCGCATGTGATTCACTTTGTTCGTCTGCCAAGACCAGTCGCTATAAAGTCAACTAGTTGGAACCTTTGTTGAGAGTCATCCTCAAGGTTGTCCAACTTCTCTTGGAGAGTGCTACAAGCAAAGCTTTGGACCCCCGCATCAAACACATATTACAACCTTGCCTTCACAATCTCATTACGACAACGACTATACCTACCATGGCCATCGCAGCAATGACTCCTACTAGTATCACCTCTCCGGATATTCAGAGCCTCGTGAGGCCTGTCCTCTCCGCCCTGCCAGGAGCGTCTGCGTCGACCGAGCCAGCTACAACAGTACTGCCTCTTCTTTCGCCCATTCTTAGACAGCGAGTACAGCTTCTTTCCGGCGCCAGCTCAGATCCATGGATCCGTCTTCTTACCTATGACACTTCGAAGGTCTCCAGACTCACCGAGATCGCCCAAAGCGGTAGCCTGGATCCCCATCCGGTATCGGGGGAAGTGGAGATAGATTGGGATTACGACGTCCACATCAAGTACAGGAGACTTGACCCCGAGACACTTCAGACCCTCGTGGTGTTGGGAGAGTTCGACCTGTTCATTCGTCTTGTGTACTGCGTCAACGACAAAGACGGTGGCGGCGACGGATGGCGTGTGGGCGAGGTCGGTGTAGCCAGCAATCCATCTCCCCTCGACTCCTTCCAGGGTCATGCTACACTCGATGAAGCAGAGAAGGCGTTCAAGGCCCAACAAATCTCTGTGCCAGAAACCAAAGCAGTTGCCCAAGTATCCGTCCAAGCTGAACCGGTTGAAGAGGATGACGACGATGATTACTGGGGCCGATACGATGCCACGCCTTCCCAAACGCCCGGTCAGGGCCGCTCTCCTGCGCCGCCGTCCTTGGGCGCCGGCCTCAACACTCAAAAATCCCATCCCTTTGAGCGTAGCGCGTCCGCCGAAGATGCGTACTTCGCCCAATACGAATCCGTACAGCCAGCCATGGACCCCCATGATCCAGACGAGGAGGCCTTACAGGGCGGAGCTGCTGGAGGTGGTGCACCGCTTAATGGTACCCTCCTTCGCAGGTCTCCGTCGCCAAGACAACAGGCATATGAGCCTCCTGCCATCAAGTCCGCACCAGCGCCGCCGCCATTGGGCCTAAACGGAGATGGCAACGGCGGCTACGTTCCATCTCGATCACCCTCCGATAAGTCCGGTTCTGATTCAAGTGGCCGGCGCATGTCCCAAGCGGACGAGGAGAGGATGGAAAGCCTTGCTCATCCGCGCCCAGCCAGTAGCGCCAGCTCAAACGGATCCCGCATGGTGGCCAAGCTCGAAGAAACGGCGGAAGCGCAGGATCGAGTCGAGTTTGGCGTTAAGCAGCACGTCTCAAGGACGATTCGAAGTCTATTCCAGTTGTCGCGCGGCGCTGGCATCAGTCGTGAAGAGTTCGAACGGATGGTCAGGAACGAGCTTGATGTTCTTGCGATGGTGGAGGATGACGTTTAAATGACTAGGCAAGGAAGGGAAATTGAGTCAAAGGGGGTGTCGGTGTTCATTGTTTATACTCCTCATTCTGTTCGGGATACTGCATCATTGGGTCGTTTTTGGCGTCAGGTAGTACTGGTGGGGGAAGTCCGGTGAGGGCGTCCAGTTCGCCTCGTGATTCTTGTTAGTTGTTCGGAGTTCGAGCAACGGCGTCCACGGAATTATTTTACAATAGCGTTACAGAATATCGGTCAAAGTACGATAATGAACATAGCACATACACGAGCAAAGTAGAGAAAGATGTCCAGTATCTGTGCACTAGTACATCATCGAAACGGTCGAAGACGAAGTCAATGAACGCAAAGTACGGAACTCCGGAATTGGCAAACAGCTACCCCACCTAGGACGGTAAGTACCTCTCAATCACATCCAGGGTTAGGGTCAAGCGTGGCTCTTTGCGAGGACGGTGAGGCTGCCAGCCGCCAGTTCGTCCCAACGATTGGTCCCTGCTCCAATGGCCGGGTCCTTCCGCAGCGGAGCAAAAAAAAGTCTCGAAAGTCGCGTCCCACTTCGACCGTCTTCCGGGGTTGAGTGCCCGTGTGTTTTGAAGTGCGTCCGCTCTGCGCCGGCAGCCCGTCCAGTCTTGAAGTCGTCTCCGTCCGTCCTCAAGGTCCGCCCCCCACACACACTGTCCACCGTCCATCTCCCCCGACCGAACGACCGGCCGACCTTCCCTCCCACCGAACCTTTCCTCCGACCCCCGGGCCGTTTTCTTACGGAGAAAAAGACCAAAAACAAAAAACAACAGACAAAATGATCGGCTCCATGGGTCTAAGGATACCCCGTGCGACAAGCTCGCTCCTCGGCCGTGCCGTCAACGCCGTCGCCACCAACCAGTCCGCCGTCGCCGGCGCTGGCGCCGCCAGCATCGCCGCCCAAAGGAGATGGCAGCACTACCTTATGCCGCTTCGCGACAACTTCGAGCAAGAGGGCATCCGCAACTTCCTCAGCCCCGGCTCCGTCAACATGGCCTATACCGAGTACCAGACCTTCATTTTGGAGAAGCTTAACGCGCTTGTAGTAGGTACGTACGGATGACACAACAACACAGAACATGCTTGTCTTGGGATTTCGGTGTCGCTGCGTTATCATGTGGCACGGCATGGCACGGCATGGCATAAATGAAGGTTACGTGCGAGGATTACTGGCTGCGAGGAATTGGTATGCTTTGGTCAAAAACGCCAAGCTTGGATGCTGTTAAGCCTGAGAGGAAGAGGAGGCATTCGCGCAGTGGTTCGGTCACAAAGGAATTGGTGGAGGAAATAGAAGGAAGGGGATTGAAGCTCAAGTCAGAGCATGCCCTGCCTACCCGGGGGGGAGACATGATGTCACCTATTCTGCTGCATGGGAGATATCTAACCGACAAACCACTTTACTTACTTCTCTTTCGTCAAACAGGCACCGACTTTGAGCAAAAAGACACCAAGTCCATCGTCCTCGCCACCGCACGCG